GGATCAGTATAAAATTATACCTCCTAGAAGATACCATCATTAAATCATTAAAAATTGTTTTAACATTATTGAAAATGGGGAAAATAACTGTTATGATAGATATGTAAAGGTTACCTACCTACCTACCTACCAGGTACCAATTCATACTCCTGGGTGGAGAGAAGCAAGGTAAAGTGCCTTGACGAAGGAAACAAGGGAAATGCACAGCGAGGGGATTGAAACCCCGAGGTTTGGGAAACCAAACCGCTCCCACTGCGCCAAACCACTTCTACAAATTAGGCCTATAATATATGTAGGCTATTTTCGTATTTTATGTGCTACCAGGAGAGCAGTGACAGTAGCTTTGCATATCAAGTTTGGTATCATATTTGTGAAAAAACAAATCTCAGGTTTTTCATAATCTTACAAATATATCCTAATTCATATTTCATTTAACTTTTTATCTAGCAGGTCAATTTTGATGAACCAAATTGTATTTTCTATAAGTACTTCAAACTCAACTGATACAACACCAAATAATTGATGGCTGTACTAGCTAACTAGTATTGGATTGTCGATGACAGGTGAGATCAAAGGACTGTACGTTAAAGAGTGTGGAGATGAGCACAGGAATGAGCGTCCTTCTGTTGAACTGCATTGATAAGAACAGGAGTAAATAAAGCAAAGTAAAAAAATAAATGCGAGGAAGTGATATGTAGTGAAAACAATTAACATTTATGGAGGAATGAAATCAACAAGAGACAATTAAGGAGTATTCCTAAAAAAATTACAAAAAGCAACTGAAGAAAACAAGGAACAGCAGCAGAATAAATTAAATTGAGACCAAAGTACCAGGGGTTGCGCCAGGGTGGGGGCCGACGGGGCCCGGGGGACAGGACCCCCGTCGAGGAGAGCTGCTCCACCTCCGCACCCCCAAACCGTCAGGGAGAAAACCCACAATTCGTCAGAGAGAAAAAAATGTATTTGTATTTTCTACTTATTATTAATTACTCTAAAAACGAAACCACTAAATTGTCATATTTTTCGGCCGCGGGACACTTTCGAGAGATTTTAGGC